ACACACACACACACACACACACACACACACGCACACACACACACACACACACATTGAGAAAACACACATTATTAGGCTACTGCAGACTCTCAGATAAGAGTTTGAACAGGAGGACAGTAGTTTTAGATGGACATACAGCCGTTTTGGTTAAAATCTTGTTCAGTGATTCAGCTGGCACTGGTACGTGTCGGGGACAACTCAGCTATCACCACAACAACAAAATTTAACTCAATATCCCTGAAATTCCCTGAGTTAATGACATTTTGTTTTGGCTAAGTTTGATCAGCTGTGGCGGTGGAAAGGTTGATGGAGGACAGGGATTCCCTGTGCTAAAAAAAAAAGAAGTAATACAGGACAGAGGATCAGTGATGGTCGGGAGGAGGGGAGGATCCTTTAACAGCCATGACGAGGCGACATTAGCTGAGTAATCTGGATCTGTGGTTATTTACAGCATGGGTAAATCCCTGAGGACGGTGCAGCGCAGGTCTACGTCAGAGGAGAGGCCAACACCAGCACCTGTACCAGGGCACAGCCTTTTACTTACAGGGAGGTACTGGAGGGGGGCACCAAGGTGGATGCAGCAAACACTAGCTGTGTTTCCATTGCAAATGTGCGCAAAACTTTGTCGATGTTCTGTTAATGTCGAAAAAACACAGTTTCACAACTGCAGTGTTACCATTAAGTAAGAAATACTATTAAAGTCACGTGAATACGTTTGTTCTCATGATAAGTCATTACAAACATGGCAGCGATGGATGTAAACACATAGCATGTTGCTACCACGACACTAGCGCTCATCATCAGAGGAGACGTCGGCGTCTTTTATCGAGGCTTTCCAGAGACAAGTCCCTACTTGGGAGCGGCTACGTATGCTGTGTTTTTGGCAAATTGTAGTTGGTGAGTTTACTACTTTCTTTTACAACTTTGTTGATATTACTACTACTTCTACTTCCTGTTAGCTTCTTCGTTGTCATTTTTTCACCAGTAGAAACAGCCGGTTGTTGATCACGTGACTCACGTGAAGTGAAAAAAGTGTTTCCATTGCAGTTTTGCAAAAAACACCAATTTCGATACGGCCGAAAAGAACACCTCATCCTAGCGCAAAAACCATTTTGTCGAAAAACAATTTTTTTTTCAAAATTGACGTGTTTCCATTGAGCAAATTTATTTTTGAAATTCTAATTTGCGCATTTTCATGATCAATGGAAACGCAGCTACTTTCCTCCGTAAAACAAAAACTGGAAACATCTTTCAGAAGGAATCAGCAGTTGGCCCAACAGATTGTTCTGCTTCAAGCCTCTAAGCCCTAAAGTAGCTGAAGAGACTGAACTAGTTTAACACGAGAAGCTACGATGGAGCAAAAACCCACTGAGTTCAGATATAATCAGTTCCAACTAAACACAACCTGGATGTCTACACTGCAAAAACTGTCCACCTAACCAGGTTTTAAAACCTTATATCAGCCAAAAAAGTCTTTTTGATCTTGTTTTGAGACAGATTTATTGAGAACTGATTGTGTAAGAATAATCATCTTGTTTTCAGAATGTATAAGATTATTTGTCTTGTTAGTCTGAAATTTTGACTCTAATTAAGTAAAAAATTTTTGCCAATGGAGTAAGAAAACTTTACTTGGTAAGATTCTTGAAATACTTGATTTGACTCAATTTTTTCTAATTTTAAGAATCTTACCAAGTAAAATTTTCTTACTCCATTGGCAGAAATATTTTACTTAATTAGAGTCAAATTTTCAGACTAACAAGACAAATAATCTGACACATTCTGAAAACAAGATGATTATTCTTACACAATCAGATCTTGTTTAGTAAATCAGTCTCAAAACAAGATGAAAAAGACTTTTTGGCTGATATAAGATTTTAAAACTTGGTAAGGTGGACAGTTAACGTGTCAAATCAAATGCTAGTGCTTTTTGAAAGTATCAACGCTCCTAAAGCAGTCAAACCAACAGCTGACACCTGCCAGTTGGGAGGTCTGTAGTCAGACAGACATAAGGTAAGATTTGTCCACTAATAACTTCTCTGTAAAAATAATAATAATAAAAAAAACATGAAAAATGTCACCTCACTCCATCTCATTCATTCAATTTGAACTGGAAACAGGGTCCTGCTGGTTAAGTGTAAAAAAAACTGGATAAAACTGAAAGATGTTTCTGTCTTTTTATTCCAAATAACATTACAAAAAACAAAACAACAAAGGAGTACTTTTTAAAATTATCTGACCAAGATTTGATGCAGAAGAAAAAGTAATAAGAAATTGAATAATACTAGAAAAAAATCAATACAATTTTGGTGTTAGTGCAGGAAAATGATGCTCTTGAGTTTGAAAAAGCTCAATTCATGATGTACTAGGCCTGCCATACGTGCACCTCTCATCACTCTCTGCTGCTGTTCAGCTTCAGGAAATGTTTCCATGTCACCGATTTGAAATTAACTGAGAGGTCTTTAAGTGCTTGAGTTATCCTGAACCAGCCTTTCCTGCTTTGCTTTGGTGTAAAATCCTTTAAACAGTTTCTCCTTCAGATAAACAAGCTCAGGGAGGAAACTGTTCACTCACTTCAAGACTAATAGCCTGGCCCCCAGATCCCCTCCTCATTGTTGCAGTTAGACCTCGACTGGCTACTAAACCTGTGACCTGAAGCAACTGAGCATTTGTTTCAAAGAGAAATTATTTACAATTACAGTAATTTCTTAGATGTTGTAGACAATATGGTTTGTAAAAATTATAGCTAACACTGAAGCTTTATTTAATTTGAACAACTAATGTTTTTATTTATTTAGAGTCCTAGAGAAACCTTGGTCAGTCTTAAAACACCAACCACCGTTTGACGACAGGTTCACCTTTGACTTCTGTGTCTGACAATTCAATTCAATTCAAAAATACTTTATTGATCCCAGAGGGAAATTTTGGTAAGAATGTCATGTTTTGTCTTTCACTGTCTCAGAGATAACAAAAAAAGTGCAAGTATGATTGTTGTTTGATCCAAATTGTAACGAAGTCTGATCGAACCATGTGAAGCTAGACTGGTTCAAATAAATTGTTGTTCATTAACTAAATGCTTCACAAAATGAATGACTAAGCTATAGCCACACTTGGATAAAGCTCCTTTTTTCCCCATGTTTCCTGTCAGTCTCTGCGTTTCCATTGTAAACGTGCGCAAAACTTTGTCGATATTCTGTTAATGTCGAAAAACAGTTTCGCAACTGCGGTGTTTCCATTAAGTAAGAAATGCTATTAAAGTCACGTGAATACGTTTGTTCTCATGATAAGTCATTACAAACATGGCAGCGATGGATGTAAACACATAGCGTGTTGCTACCACGACACTAGCGCTCATCATCAGAGGAGACGTCGGCGTCTTTTATCGAGGCTTTCCAGAGACAAGTCCCTACTTGGGAGCGGCTA